ACTTTAGTGAGCCCCAAGAATGCATAGCCCACTCTTTCCACACAGTTATAAAGAAAATTAATCTTTCCGCCAGTAACAGAGAATCACTTAATGGAAACGGGACGATAGTACTTCACTAAATAAGGCTTCACTCCTTTGCTCCCCTGCTCTCAAAACTGAGGTGCAAATGCATTTCTACACTTTCAGATGAACATTTGGGAACTTTTGCTGAATGCTTACATCTGTGAAAATAAGTTTCCTATTTTTTAAAAGTCATTCTATATGTACCTGTTTTCTTTCCTGTTCCTTAGAGAGATGGCTTTTCCCCTAGAGTATGTTTTGCAGAGGGAATAATTACTGCAATAATGTTATCCTTAAAAGGGATCACATATAAGACAAAAGCAGGTATAAAAATCTCATTCCCACTAAAACAATTCAAAAATCATAGGTTAGGCTTTAAAAGGAGGCAGCTACAAATCTAGGTTTGAAAAACCTTTAGACACACTAAAGATTTGTCCCAGATCACATCTGATGTCTATTTCTCTGGGATCATAACAAAAAAAAGTGATAAATTAATTCAAATGGCCTATTTTACACACTTGAAGGCTATTTCCATTGTCTCATATAGTCATTCTGAATAGGACAGAGTCGCATAATGAGACTTCCTTTGCACATTCTTCTGAACACGCACTGAGTCAACATAACCAAACCCCTTACTTTCATTGTAAAATTACTGTTTCTCATACGCAATCAGGGTCTCCCAGATTATGACATGCGACCCTAAAAATAGGAGAACTTAAAAGTTAGTTTAAATCTAAAACTTAGACCCGGCGCTCCATTTTTAGACGCACCCTTTAATTTCTTGGTGTTGTCTACATTTTACTTGCACTTAAATTTAGCAAAGTAATTTTAGCTCACCCTCCTTCACTACCTTCACTAGACTTTGCAACGTTACAAACACGAAGCATTCAAGCCTCTCCCTTTTTCATATGAAAATGTTTTAAATAAAAGATTAGGTTAAAAGGGGAAGATCTCCCTTTCAACTTTTAACTTTTTCAGCTATGTTGAACTGGTTCAGGTGACAGCCCAGCCATTGGAAAATTCCCGCTGTTGTTTGTTTACAAAATAACTGTTTTCAATCAATCATTGTGAGAGGTCCCTATGCTGACAATGCATAATGGACAACTAATTAACTGACCCCTAATAAGGGTGCGGGAAACACCAGGGAGAATGCTATCATGCAAGGAACAGCAACCATATGGAGGGGTGGCTGGTCACTGCCAAGCATAAGCATCCTCAAATACCACAGTGATTTTCAGAGTTTTCAAAAAGCCCCTACTCGCGCCACTGCCACCAAGTATCATAATCCTCTGAAACTGTGCCCCAAAGATCTGAACGTCTCTGTCACATCAGCCTATTTTTCTTACAAACGTTGCTCCAAAGGTTCAAATTCAAGGTGTAGAACATGAAACAATAGCTGTATTGTGAAGAACCATGCTCCCTGGGAAAGCCCAAGTATCCTTACACACTGGGGAAGGAAAAAAGAACTCCTTTGCCATCCTCCTCCTCTCTGGAAAACTGCCTCGGACGCAAAGGGTAAAGAAGTAAAGAGGTGACAAAAAGAGACCTGCATTCAGAGAGATCAGCTGTCAATTTAAACTGAGAAGCGACTTGATGCATCACAGAGCTGGGATTTTGCCACCTTGACCAAACTGCTTCCCAGACTCCATAAGTCGCATTAGAAATGTAGGTGGCTCTGTGTCGACACCTTCTCAATGGAGTTCTATGAAATAACAGGCAACATAGACGTTTATTCAGTATGACAATGTCTTCCCACCACTCCAGATCCTAGGACTCGGGCTGACTTGCTATCGGTTTTTGCCTGGGAATAGGAAACGATTCCAGAAACATTAGCTCTTCTGTTTTGAGAAGAAATAAAACCCCCCTTTTATTTATCTTTCGTTTAAAGATAGCAAGAAAAAAAATCAAAGCCAATATTACTTTTAGAAAAAAAAAGTGTTGAAAGTTTCCTATTACCCTACTTACAATATGATACGTTTAAAATATACATAACATGTAACATTGTAGAATACTATGTAAGTTACAAATTCCTTTTGACGTCTTTCAGAGATGCTTTCCTTCTTATGTATCTGGGATTCCATTGGGATCTTAGGTCTTACAACAAATAAAATATCTGATTTTATAAGATTAAAAATTCAACAAGGTTTTTCTTTAATAACAAAGCAAAACGTGGAAAGTGGAGGGGGGAAGTTCATATACAGGTGTGCATGCAGGCCCCTCACACAATCCCTTCAATAGTAAATGCTAATTTTCTAAATTTTAGCTAAAGAATTCGCATCAGATTAAATTACCAATAATTCCTCATGAAATAACAGATAAATGTGAAATAATATACTACAATTCTACTCTAATTTTTTAAAATAGAATGAAGTAATTATAAAATGTTACAAAAGAGAAGCAACTGAAATTATAAGTGCCACTGGAATTATATATTCCTTAACAAATATCTCGAGATAGATTACCCATTTACTAATTTAGTGTACTTTCCAAAAGCCACTGACCCAAACCGAAGCTAGGATTACCAAATGGCAAATAGCATTTGTGATGTGTGTAGCTCTTCTAAAGCCTTTCTTGAGAATTGTAAAATTTGACATGTTAGCCACAAGTTTGCAGAGGTCACCCTTTTTCTGCTAGAATTATAATTTCGATGGTGTAATTAGTTTATTAATAACTTGACACATGGTGAATTAATTTACATGATTGGGTTTTTCACAACGTCTGTTGCTTGATCCTCCTATGGATGAAGGCTTTGAGCTCTGGTCTGCCCCGGGAGTGGGCACCAGCCAATGCCGGCGGAGCAAGGGTTAACTTCGGGACTGTGACAGTTCTCCCTTTGGGGGCTCTAAACTACTTGGAGAGAATGGAAAACAGTCAAAAATAGTCCCAAAGGTAAATAAACTCTGTGTCCTATGTATGTCACCCAGGGAAAAATAAAATGTACTTGTATTCACATTGAAAGTTTTCTGAACTACAAAAGCTATAGAGATATGTGAGTGTGAAACCTGTAGCACAGAGGAATGTGTTATTTTGAAAGATAAAGGAAATTATCTTTAGATCAACGAAGAGTTGTATTAAATCCACATTCTCATTGAAATTGTTTATCCATTTTATTGGGCAGTGTAGTCTGCTATTAATAACAGCATGTGTCTTGTACTTAAAAGATAATTAATGCCTCTATGCATCTATGCAATATACCATAGCAATAAACGGATGATGTATTTCAGACAGAAACCAGGTAAGGCTAGCTGATAAAATAAAGACCATTTTTTTTTAACATGCCAAGTTTTGCAATTAGAGTGGTAAATTGGGGGCAAATCAACACAACAGCTGCAGGCTGAGGAATAGGAAGGTGAAAAGACGGAGACTGAGAGTGGGAGAGGAGAGGGACCGCTCCTGGCGCTGAGAGCTGGTGCCAGAGCCGGTGTTGCGGCGTGTGCGGGAGGGCGCCGTCGGGAGTCACTCCACCATCAGGACCCAGCGGACAGTGACAGCCCAGCCTCACACCTGGTCCCTACTTCAGGCCAAGCGTGAGCTTTAGTTCAACCCTGATTTCCACTCCAGACAAGGACAAACAACCTCTTGGTCGGGGCCCCAGATGAAGTCCCTGCGGTGTGCTCTCCTGGCCCTTGTCAATTTCGGGGTGCCTCCTCATCTCCATCCGCACCTGACTGCACGCGCCTCCAGGGGACCCCGCACTGGCGAGCCGTCCCTCCCGGCGCTGCACGCCCCACCTGTCCCGGCG